CACGTATTTTGATGATGAAACCACTTGATATGTGTTTATGTTTTAATCTACGTTTTGAGTGACGTAGGATACTTTGATCAGGATGAGACAATTAAAGCAGGAAAAATCATGTTGTGCCAGAGGAACATGTCAGAAGATTGGATGTCGGGCCGGTGGATCAATCGATGTATCGACAGAAGGCTTCGGGCCGTGGACTCAGGCATCAAGCCAAGAAGAGCGGGTATTGTGCCAAGGATATCAAAGTTATGGATTCAACTGGCCGATTGGGCAATAGGCCGCAGGAGAGGAGATGCGCCGAATAATCAAACGAAGTGTCGAGGGACCAATGACATGCCGGACAAATTGGTTAATTACTTAGGATTAATTGTCTCGATCGATGTTTTGTTTTACATGTGCAGGATTAACTATGATGGAAGTAAGATATGCAGCAGGAGTTACGCCGGAGTCAAGACTATGATCACGTTAGGGGTTCGAGAATTCGACGGAAGTCCGGATAGTCGTCGGAGGTTCTGCGAGAACAAATTTGGTAAGTCCAGGAGCTTGCCAAAGAAGCTCGTCGGAACTCTCCAAGTGGATCGTCGCAAGTCCAGGAGTTTGCCGGAACTCCGTCAGAGCATCACCGAAGGTTCGTCGAATGTTCGCCGGAAGTTCGCCGGAAGCTTGCCGGAAGAAACGATTGACGCACCGGAGCAAGTTGCAGTAAATGTCTTAAGAAATATCGTAGTTAGTATGTAGATTAAGTTAGGAATGGGAGGTGATCACATTAACTTAATCTGGGGGCAATTGGGCCCTTGATAGACCCAAATTGGGCCGAATGGATCAATCCATTCGGACTAGAATTCCTGCTAGGCGGTGGCACCGCTAGGGTCAGTGGTGGCACTGCCCAAGAGATGGTCTCCCAGGAAAGCTGGGCGGTGCAACCGCCCAGGTCAGGCGGTGGCACCGCTTGGGCTCAGTCTCCGAGCGAGATTGGGAGGTGCAACCGCCCTAGTCATGCGATGGCACCGCTTGGGCTCAGTCTCCGAGCGAGACTGGGCAGTTCAACTGCCCCTGTCAAGCAGTGGCACCGCCAGAGCTCAGTCTCCGAGCTCTGTCAGGAGGTAGTACCGCCCCAGTTAGGAGGTAGTACCGCCAAGTCCCCGAAAATCCAGGAAAAGATATTTTTGAGCTCCAAATTCAAACTAGTTTGGGGCCTATATAAACCCCACCCTTTTCTGCATGAAACGACTACCAAAGGCACTGAAAATCCAATCTTACTATGTGATTTTTAGAGCTCAAAAGTGTTGTAAATGCTAGAAGTTCTCCTCTCTCTTTTCTTCCAAGTTTTGAGCTTTCAAGAGAGGAGAGAAATTCTATAAGGGTTGTCTCCTAAGCCCGTCAAAAGGAGTGAAATTGTAAAAGGATGGTTGGTCTTCGCCTATTGAAGGAAGGCCTCTAGTGGACGTCGGTGACCTCGTCGGTGGAGGAAGCCAAAAGTGGATGTAGGTCAAGATTGACCGAACCACTTTAAATCTCGGTTTGCATTTACTTTGAGTATCTTATTTTTACTACAAACCTCCTCAGTAGGTTACTGCCTTTTGCTCATTTACGAACGTCTTTCATAGTTAAGTATTTTTCGAATCAGCGTTAAGACGGAAATCAGTTTTATCGTACGAACATCATATTTCAGTTTGCGCTTACATTCTGATTTCCATCATAACTGCAAACTGCCTTTATATCTTTGCTTTAACTGCATCTCCTTTGATCATAAGTTAAAGTGATTTACGAATCGACTTTCTTACCAAAATCGCTTTTATTGTACGAATGCAGTTTTAATCGTCGAAAGTTTTCCGCTGCACTAATTCACCCCCCTCCCCCCCCCCTTTTAGTACTCTTGATCTTAATAATATATACGTGTACTCTCATGCCACATGTCATAATATATATATATATATATATATATATATATATATATACGTGTACTCTCATGCCACATGTCATTATATATATATATATATATATATATATATATGCATCCTTACACCACATGTCATAATACATACATGTACTCATACACTATATGTTATATAAAACACATCACTCCTATACTATACATCATCATATATACATGCATATAATAAATTTTTATCGCAATTCATATATTTTAATACTTACAAAATAAATACATTCATTTTTAGCTTATGTCTAGCTTATGATGATCATATCATTCAAAACATACTTTCCAAAATATATTATGCGTATAATAATTTATATGATCACTATTTTATAGTAAACTAAACTTATACTTATAATATCAATGAACTAAAAAATTATAATATCAATGAAAGACTATGTTTCTTAATAATCGAATGTGCTACAAAGTGATATATATAT